AGCCTGGCGGCGGCCGTGCGCGGGGCGGGCCCGGCTTCACTGCGCGGCCGGAATGGGCTGGCGGCCATCTTGCTTTGGGGCAGCCGACAGCGCGAGTGTTCGCTGAGCGACGCGGCGGCGGGGCCACGGGAGCGGGGAAAGGGCCGCGCTCGTGCGTGTGGGAACGTCGGTGGCGCCAGAGCCGGCGAGTGTCGACTCGAAAACCCTCTGGCGGACGGGCAGGCGGCCATGGCTCATGAGGGCGGAATAGGACGGGTCGGGTTGTCGCGAACTGAGCGGAAGGTTCGAGGTCTGGACATGACCTTTGCTCTGAACTTCCTGTTAACCCGGACGCGCGGGACACCCGGGCCCGCGGCGCCGCGCGCTCTTCAAACGCTCTCGGATTTCACTCTGCTTTTTTGACCACCTGCTCCGGATGGGTCGCCCGAGCTGAGGCCTGCACTCCTGGGAAGTGGGGGCGAGGGGCCTGGTCAGCCTGGTGTGGCCTGTGAGACTGGGGGACCCGATTACACAAGGCCTTGTAAGTTGGTTGACTTGGTTGGTTTTACCCTGAGAGCACAGATAGACGTTGAAGAGTCTGAGCAGAGGTGTGCATAATTATGTTTGCATTTTAGGAAGACCACTAGTGCAGTGGGGATCGTGGACTGGAGAGGACAATTGGGAAGCTCTTGTCAGTCCTATAGAAAGGAGCGTGCGGATGGGAAAGAGAGATTGGAAATAGGTGTGCAGCAGAGGGAGGAATTCAAAGCTATTGCCCAGTGTTCTGACTTCGACAGTTGGGGAATGGTGACGTTTTTTGTTTAGGAGGGGGAATGAGTTTTAGGTGCCTGTGGGTTATCTTAGATAATGGAATATCAAATAGTGTAGGCTAGGAACCCAGAGGAAAGGTCTAGTGGGTGAGCGTGTGTGTGTGTGTGAATAGAAATGGTTGTTGAAGCCATGGAAGTAAGATGGCCGAGAGAGGAATACCCGCCCTTCAGGATGAGATGAGAAAAGAAATCCGAAAAGAGGACCACTGACTAGGGGCAAAGACAGGAAGTATCAAGGAAGCCGATCAAAGGGTTAACAACAGATCAGGTAAGGTGGGACCAAAATATGTCTGCTGGATTTTGCAACAAGGAAGTAATTTAGTAATTTTGGAGAAATCTGTTTCAGAGACATGGTGGGTTAGAAATCAGACTGAAGTAAATTGAATGACTGGAAAGGCACAATGTACAGTGTAGATATAAAGACTTTTTATGGTGTTGACTGTAAAAAGAGACCAGCAGTAGGGGGTAGCATGAGGGAGAATTCCAAAGAAAGAGGAATCTTAGGGGACTGGGATAACCAGATGGAGATGTCCTAATGTCAGTTTAATATACATATCTAGCTTTAGGAGAACAGTATATTAAATGGGGAAAAAGGAAGTGCAGAACAATCCATATGGCACATTTACATGGGCATTTAAAAAGTCACCATGAAAGTGGGCCTGGGAGGGATGAAACATACTTTTTAGATCTATCTTTACTGCTTGAACTTGTTTTACTATATAAATATTCCTCTTATAGAAAACTCCTTTTTAAACACTCCAGTGATGTATAGGCCAGAATTTCTGAATCACGAACATTTAAGGGCTTACTGAAGCCATAGACTTGGGTAAGCTCCCCAGAGAACAGCAGAGGACTAAGAAGAGTGCTCTAGGGAATTCCATCATTTAAAGCACAAATAGAAGAGGAGGCCTTGGAGGATCTTTGAAAAGCAACAGCCAATGGGGAAGAATAAAAACTGGTTGATAATTGTCACAATCAAAAGGAAGGGAGTGTTTCAAGAGGATGGGAGTTGTTCCAAAAAGTTTTCAGATGTCCCCAGAGGCAGCTAACAGGAAAGGTGCTTTTGGCCTCAGACCCAGGTTTTCTGGAAGTTTGGCACAAAGGTCAAAACCGTACCCCACGTTTCATGGAATCCTACATCCATGCTGTTCCACCATGGTGGGTCTCGAAGTCGACCCCAGCCAGCTCAGGTACCACCAGTGTTTTCACACTTGAGAGTGATACCCTCTAATCCCTAAAGCTGCCATCAAGAAAAACCTGTGTTGCCAGAACTGCTGAAGTTAAGGAATTGAAAGTTGAAGTTGAGAAGGTCAAAAACTAACTAGGGATTGCATGAATTTTCCTAAAAACAGCACAATGATAGGAAGAGTTAGCAGAGAGAAGTTATTTAATAGGTGCTGAAGTCCTCTGTAGGCATGAAGGTTCGAGGGTATTAGAGCCAAATGGCATGAGCTTCAAAGGGGAGAGTTTTTGGAAGAAAATGGGTGTGCACTTGTTTGAGAGCAACAATGGACAGCAAGGAGGAGGGTGACACCTGCCACCCATTCCTACTTTAGAAGGTTGAAGGGAAGAGATGTTCATTAGAAAAACAAAACAATTTCTACCCCACTCATTTTTTTCCACAATACTCACTGGAACTCTGTTCCTTTGTAAATAAGCTTTCCTGTATCTTCATTTTCACCAGTTGCTCCCCAGCTCTTCTCAGAGGCAGAGTCATTAGGACAGAAGTAGCTGTGATGTATGGAAAGGTGGTGTGTCCCACCTACATAAGCCCACAAAAAGGGCAGACACAGGCAGTAGTTAACCTAGATTCATACCCTCTCCATATTCCTGTCCTGAGGTGGTTTCACACCTAGCAGTCTTGGCATCATGGTAGTAATTCCTTTCATGAGCCCACTTCTCCAAACCTAATGCAACCCCATTTAAAGGCCTGGAGAGGGGAGTCCTTGCTGAAAACTGCGTTCTCTAACAGTGTGACAGCCACTCCACTCATGGTAGCCTGTAGGGGGAAACGGTTCCCCCTTCCTTTAACAGGACTTGAAGGACTCAATTCTTTTGCCTGGGACCAAACCTTAGAATTTTTTTACAAAGTCCAGACATTGGGACAATTGTGTGTTCCTAAGCTAGTCTGTCCATTCATGGCTGCATCTGTAGGAATGTTTTTTGTTCGGGGGGTAGGGGAGCTGGGTGTTCACTCTTTCAACCCAAGGCCTTGAGATTTAACAGGTGCTAAGGAGGTCGTAGTGTCAGCAGAGCTGAGCAGATTTCCAGAGGGGAAGTGGAGCGAATACTGCTAAGCCAAGGACAACTGTGTAGACAGGATACTTCAAACACAAAGAGCTTTGGTTAGCCATAGCCGAACAGCTGCTCACCCCTGGCTAAACTACATCATCTCTATAGTTCAAGCAAAAACCTCATCTCTTGCCTTATGTTCTTTTTCTACCCTCTCCTTGCTTCAACTAAAAACTTCCTTTACATCAGTTCCATCTCTTCCTGGGAGCCTCAGCTGAGAAAAAAAATCCCTCCAGCTTTCAAAGACTGGTCCCTTTCCCTGGACCCTCATTGCCATCCATTTCCTGCTTCTCAACACACTATTCCCACAATTACCTCTTCCTTCACTAGACTCTAAGCTGGTACCCTTCAGCTACTTTTCATATCTCCTATTTCCACTATGTCCTCTGAAATAGTTCTCAACCTGCTGTAGTTCTCAGTGATTAGAAAGTCCTTCTGTACTTAGAAAAGTCTACCTCTTTGTTACTTCCACTTATTGGTCCTATTTTTCCCCTCTCTGAGTTATAGCCCATTGTCAGCCCTTCAGACAGCTACCATGTCCCTATTAAATATTTTCTTTAAGTGAATGGTGATACCAATTCAAAGTATAGCAGATCTCTTATCTTTCCTGATCTGAATAAAGTCTGCTTGTCCCAGTCCATGCTGTTCCCTGCTCTACGAGAATTAAGATATTTTCAAACCAGACCTTCCCTTAAAGCAGTCTGTACCCTTTTAGCAACCAGTTGTCACAAGTATCTTCTTAACTCTTCCATGCCCACTGAGCCCTGTGTCCCAGCCTGGGCTTTACTCCTGAACTTTATCCTACAGTGACTTGCTTACTGACTGGACTGTCCTCTCTAGTTCTTAGTTATCCCATTAACTGCAAGCTGCCCCAGTTACTCATTTTCACCCAGGTCTCATACTGGCTCCTAATTTCAGTTGAACTTCAACCTAGAACTCCAGTGTCTCCTGATTTCTGGTTAGAAGAGTAGGGGCCACAATCAGTCACTGAAAACTAATCTTTCCAAAATGCTCCCTAACCTGTTTCGTTTTCTTCATTCACTAGCTCTGGCCTTCACTGATAGGACTTTGGACAAGTTCCTTAACTTCTCTGAGCTTACTTTGTAAAAGGGGCAAATATAGCTACCTCATAAGTCATTGTAGAGTGCTCAATAAGTGTTACCTAATATTGATATATAAGTTTTACCAGATTTCAGAAATTCAGGGAGTTCTTTATAACTGCTCTCTGCTGCCCCCATGGGAATGACTTTTTTAAGTCATTGGTAATCCTACAGTCCAGGACAAAATACAGCCCTGTCTTACCATCACAACCAGCTAATTAGAAAACCAAGTCTTTTTTTTTTTTTTTAAGTTTTTTTAGAGAGAAACATCAGTTTGTTGTTCCACTTACTCATGCACTCATTGATCCTTTTATGGCCCTGACTGGGGAATCGAACCCACAACCTTGGTGTATCAGGCGATGCTTTAACCAACTGAGCTACGTGACCAGGGTTAAACACATCTTTGGTTGGTGGTTCAATCAAATAAAAATGCTCCTATATTCTAGCCCGTTCTCTTTTTCAAAGAACCTATCAGGAAACATTTTTTTTCTTGAAATTAAGATATACTGCCTCTATGATGTTCTAGTTAATTGAGTGACACAAGGAAAGTCATTCAGTCATTCACTTAATATATGTTAAGCATTTCCTAATGTCAGGGACTGGGACAGGCATATATGATAAGGATACACATTGGTGAACAAAGCAGACATGACTTCATGAAGCTCGCTGTTTACATGAGTAGACAGGTGCTAAGAAAAGAAATACATCATTTTAAATTGAGATAAGTGTTGTGAGCCCTGGCTAGTGTGGCTCAGTTGGAGCATTGTCCTGTGCACGGGAGGGAGGGTTGCAGGTTTGATTCCCGACTAGGGCATGTACCCAGATTGTGTGTTCCATCCCCCAGTCGGGGTGAGAATGGGAGGCAGCCAATTGATGTCTGTTTGTCTCTCTCCCCCCTTCCTCTCTTTCTAAAATCAATTTTTTTTAAAGTGCTGTGAAGGAAAAGAACAGTGCTGTGACAGAAAAACACGAATGAACAGGGAAAGCCCCTCTTTGAAGCAGCAGCAGCATGGAAGCTGCAACCTAAAGAACAGGAAAAAGCCAGGCATCTTGTAGATATTGGGAAGTGTTCTGGGCTGAGAAGACACCTGCAAAAGGTCAGCAGGCAAAGAACACGGCCCCTTGGGAATCTGAATCACTGTGATGAACCACTGTAGGCTTCTGAGGTTTATTGCTTTTTTTTTCATTGCTCATAAATCACTCTTTAATAACTCTTCTATAATGTTACTAAAAATCACTAGTCTTAGTCATTCAGTTTCCAGGTTTTCATCTAAAATTTCCCTCTTTGAAAATGTGGACATGTGCCATATTGTGAATTCCTCAGATTACCTACAGGGGACACACTATCACTCACAAAATACTTCTGACTTCTAGAACACCATGTATCTAGGCCCTGAACTCATTTAAAATGCTAAGAATCCTATTATATTTTACTTAATGAACTTATAAATAACAAAAAGAACTTAACTCCTCACATTACCTTATTTCTTCATGTTTCTTCAAAGTTTTAGCTATTCATACGTGTTTTTATATAGCTAAAATAATAATATTGTGTAACAGTTTGTTTACCTAAATAACTCAAGAAGCAACCTAAATATTACAAATTGCCCAGCTGGTGTTGCTCAGTGGTTGAGCGTGGACCCATAGACCAGGAGGTCACAATTTGATTCCCGGTCGAGGCGTATGCCTGGGTTGTGGGCTGGATCCCCCAACGGGGGCATGCAGGAGGTAGCTGATAGATTCTCATCACTGATGTTTCTATTTCTCCCTCTCTCTTCCTCTCTGAAAGCAATAAAAACATTTAAAAATATGTATTACAAATAATAGAATTTATTACAATGGAGGGATAACATGCAGAAATAACTTTTCTTTATATATGCAAACAGTAAGTTAAAGATATAACCAAAGAAAAGACCCAATAGCAACAAAACAGATAAAATGACTAGGAATAACCTTAACAAGAATGTACACAATATGTATGAATGAAATTTTAAAATGCTACCCACATAAAAGAAAGTTGAACAAATGAAAAGTAACATTGTATTCTTGGATAGAGAAAACAAGGATGTCAATTTCCCAAATTTGTCTATAAATTTAATATAATCTAGATTAAGATATCAGCAAGATTTTAAAAAATAAAGCTTATTTTAAAGTTCTAGTGTTAAAATAAGAATTGAAAGTTTTGAAAAAGCAGAGCAAGCTAACCCAACCAGATATAAAAATGCATTGTATTATGACGCTACAATAATTAAAACAGTGGAATGATGCCCTGTGAATAGACAAATTGATGGAACGGAATAGAAGGTCCAGTGATAGACCCAAATTCATATGGAAATTTTGTATGATAAAAACCTCTCTTTAGATGAGTGGGGAAATAGCATTATATAATAAATGTTGTTGGGACACTGAATGGGAAAGAATATTGGACCCCTACATCATACTCTTCACCAAAATCAATTCCTATGGCCCTCACCAGGTGGCTCAGTTGATGAGAGCATCGTTCTGATAAGCCAAGGTTGCAGGGCTTGATCTCCAGTCAGGAACCATACAAGAAGCAACAATGAATGCATAAACAAGTGGAATAACAAATCGATGTTTCTTTCCTTTTCTCTCTAATAAATGAAAAACATTTTTTTAATTCCTTACGGGTTTTAGTAGCCACTCATAACTAATATAAGACACTGGGAGCCACCTAAAACATAAGGGTACAAAGAGGTGGAAAGTAAAAGAAGAGTAAAATATATATGCAAACATAAACCAAATGAACATATAACAACATATAGTAGACTTGAAGGCAAAAAGCATTACGAGGAATAAATAAGAGCACTCTATATCAAAAAGTTCAATTTACCAGGAAGTTCTAAATTTGTATGCATTTAATAACAGGTACAAGAAAAAATAGACATTTGTAGTCATAACACAAGGTTTAACATACCTCTCATTCCATGACAGATATTCTTGGCAACTTTAAGATGTACAATAAATTAACTGCAGTCACCATGCTTTATATTAGATCCTCAGAATTTATTCTTATAACAAAGTTTGACCTACATGTCACCATTTTCCCCTCCCCCATCTCCAAAGCCTTATTCCAAATTTCTGCACTTTGTACCACACCACAGTGCCTACACCCAGGAGGAAATTGATCTTTATTTCCCCTGGAGAGAGCTCCAGTGAGATACTAAAAAGCTTTGTCTTACCCTTATCCAATATCCCATATGTTAAAGAAAAAACTGTATAGCATACTATAAAAGACAAAAAACACATAATCTCAATGAACACAAAAAGCATTTGGAAAAAGTCCATGGTTAAAACCTTCACCACTAGGAATAAAAGGGAACTTCCTTAACTTGATAAAGGGCATCTAGGAAAAGCCTATAGCTAACATATTTAATGAAGAAAGGCAACGCTTGCCCCCTAAAATCAGAACAAGACAAGGATGTCTGCTCTCTATTCAACATTGTACTGGAGGTTTCAGCCATTAGAAATTAATACATAGTATGCTTATCACATTTGTAGATTGGCTACAGAATGTTATGATCAATAGGATATGACCCAAAATTATTGCAACAGGCTGGAACGATTAACAGCGTAAACGAGATGTAAATTAAAACCCAAATGAATACATTTAGGTTTAAAAACCAACTAGAAGTTACAAAATTATGCAAAAGAATTGCTGAATATCTACTGTGTGCCATGCACTAGAGATGGAGGCATGATTCCTTCCTAGGTGGGCTAATTCCAGACCCAAAAAAATGTCTACGCTGGACCAAGACTTCCTGTGATCTCTCAGCTCCTTGGCACTTGTTAATATAATTCCCTAATTCAACTGTGTTAATTCTTCGGGGCCCAGATCGCATACTGTACTTTGAGTCTCCAAGGTTTGCAATAATTACCAGGAGTTCAATACCTTCCTCTTGAATGACTTCATTGGCCCTGGACCCTCAGGCCGAGTAAGTACTCGGAAAGTAAGGAAGCCGTTTGACGCGAAAACGTGAATTGCGCGTTTTAGGAAGACAATGCCTGGAACGGAGCCTAGAAAGGCCTGGAATTCTAACAACTCTCGGAGTGTGGGGAGGTGTCCGGAAGCGTTTCGGGGATTACCTCTCTGAGCATGAGCGGAAGCCACGCTTTGAGCAGTCGGCCCGGTGGGTGGTTGGTTTGGGACGGGGGCGGTACTGATAAGCGCCATATTCAGGACAGGGCGGTCCGTTTCCATTCTGTACTTCCCGTTGTACCTGCGAACAGGTGACAAATTTGTCTTCGCTACTAGAAAATAAAGGTCACATTGGAGGAAGTCTTAAGGCAGCCCAACTCTCCATTTTCCCGTAGTAAAGATGGCTGCGCCCAGAATGTAAACGACAGGCAAAACCACTTCCGCGTTTCTCCTGCGCCCTCACCCAAGATGGCGGACGAGGCCACCCGGCGTGTAGTGTCGGAGATTCCGGTGCTGAAGACTAACGCCGGACCTCGAGATCGGGAGTTGTGGGTGCAGCGCCTCAAGGAGGAGTATCAGTCTCTTATCCGGGTCAGTTGTGCTACTGCGACCTTTCGCGTCGCAAAAGCGTTACCGGTAATGTGTGCTTAGGAATAGGCTCCGTGTGGAAGCCCTTTCCGCTCTTAAAGTTGAACTCCCAAATTCATAGAAACTGTAGAAATGCGGGGGTGGGGGTGGGGAGCGCAGAAGAGACTCGCGTGGGGAGCCACAGTCGGACCAGGCTTTCTGTCTGAAAGCAGCACTGACTTTAGGGATGCGCCTCTGGGAAGGTGACGTGTCCCGCTGGCTCGGGCGCTTGCTCCCCCGGACGTGAGGAGGTGGTCTCTCTGCCCCCCTTCACTCCTGGGGGAGGAACACGCGTTAGGGCCGAAAACTCAAGCAGGTGGTAGTTGCAGAATCGCGGAGCTGAGCTCGCCGTCACGAAGGAGCCATGCTCTCAGTTAATCTCCCTTCTCTGTAAGAAAAAAGTTTGGTCAGTAGTCTCTTGTTTCCTGCCACGTGCTGACATTCACTAAAGATAATCTTTATTATACACCTAGTACCTAGGAAGGGGATCCAAAGCCGAATAAGGTAGAGCCTACTGAGGTACAGAAACGATCATTAAAACACATTGTTTAAGTGGAGACAGGGAGGCTGAGAAACTGCTCGGATGTTTTGAAGCAGGGGATGAGATGCCTAATCCAGTTTGGGTCTGGTCAGGGAAGGCTTCCTGGAAGAGGCAGTGCTTGAGCTGAGACTTATCCTGTAAACATAAGTCAGCCAGATAAAACATGAAGGTAAAGGAAGGACATTCATGGCAAAAGGGACAGAATGAACAAAGGCATAGATGATAGAAACACCGTGATGTGTATGAAGAAACATAATTAAGAGTTGCTACAGCATCAAATGTGTGGCAGGGGGTGGTGAGCAAGGTTTGATAGGTAGGTTGGAGCACTCGAATTTTATCTTGGAGGCTTTGGGGTACTTTTAAAGATTTTAACTCAGGAATAACATGGTCAGATTTGGGTTTAGATCATTCACAGTGGCAGTAGAGAGGAAAATAGAATTGACAGGGATAAGATTGAAAGTAGGAAACAAGTTAGGAAGCTGCCATTAATCCAGCAAAAGAAAGGTGATCTAACCTCTGCAGTTAGTTATAGTGAGAACTGAGAGGAAAGGTAGGTTTCAAGAATATTCAGAAGGTAAAATCAGCAGGACATCGTTACGGTTGATGGACTAGAGTAAAGGAGAGGGAAGGTCAAGAATGATTCCAGGTTTCTGGTGTGGTAATCTGAGTGGTAATCTGAGATTGATGCATTGGAGAAATAGGTCTGAAGGAACAGAGGGAAATGCTGAGCTTGAGATACCTGTGAAACAAAGATAGAAATTTCTATATATAGTTGGATACTGGAGGCTAAAGCTCTGAGAAAACATCTGGATTAAAGATAAAGATTTGGAAGTCATCAGCAATCTATTCTCTGTTCTGGGCAAGTTGCTAGTCCTCTGCTTACCAGTGTAACTTTGTTTTTAATTTTGCTTAAGTCTGAAAAGTTTGGTAAAAATACTAAGAGAGAAAGTAATCACATAATTTTCTTTTGAGGGGAGGGGGACTGCCCTTGGTTCCAGCTTCCCCCTCAAAGACTGGATCCTCTGCTTTTAGTATGTGGAGAGCAACAAGATCGCAGACACCGATTGGTTCCGACTGGAGTCTAACAAGGAAGGGACTCGGTAGGCAGACCCTCTGGGGGTATTGGGGTGGGAATCTTACATGGCTTTAGCATTTAGTGTCTCAAAGCTCACTACCAGGTCATCCCTGCCTCATATTGGCTGTGTCCACTCCCACAGCTCCAGTGTTTCCCAGTTCCAATCCCATGAGTCTACCAGGCTGGTCACTTAAGCCAAGAAGATGTCATTTGAGTATGAGCAGAGTGGTTAAATTGGACTGAGGTTTGGTCTTTATTTTAGGTGGTTTGGAAAATGCTGGTATATCCATGATCTCCTCAAATATGAGTTTGACATCGAGTTTGATGTGAGTATGATAAAGTGGGAAATACGGAGGTTAACAAGCTAAGATTTCTTGAAAGGACTAAAGAAAACTTTTCAAATGGGAGGTAAAAGCTGAGGTTTGAAGCAAGCATAGGTTACAGTTACTGATTACCAAGTCCAGAATCATGGTGTGCACATGCTGCTTATGGAGTTTGCCAAACATTTCAGTTCAACCAAGAAATGTGGGTCTAATTACATTATTTCCTTTTTTTTTTTAATATGTTTTTGATTTTAGAGAGAGAGGAAGGGTGAGAGAGGGATAGAAACATTGATGAGAGAGAAACATCGATCAGCTGCCTCTTGCCCACCCACTACTGGGGATCAAGCCTGCAACCTGGGCATGTGCCCTGACTGGGAATCGAACCGGTGACCTCTTGGTGCATGGCATGACACTGAACCAGCTGAGCCACACCAGCTGGGCACATTAGTTCCTTTCTATCCTGATTCTCTTTTATTAAGGTTTTATAATTCCTCCAGATTCCTATCACATATCCTACTACTGCCCCAGAAATTGCAGTCCCTGAACTGGATGGAAAAACAGCCAAGATGTACAGGTAGGACTGAATAGGAGATGGGAATGGTCAAAAAAGGGCTTAGGGAAGACCCCTGGGAGGCAGGAGTTTTCCCAGAGTCTGCTGACCTAGAGGGGCCCCAGGCCTCCTTCTGTCAAGCCTGGGCAGTGTACTTAGCTGACTTGTTCTCAGTTTGGATCACTAACAGTCTTGTGCTCCCAAGAGGATGCTGTGTTTCATGGTAAACCTTGCATGTCAACACCTCTTCCCTCTTGTCTCTTTCAGGGGTGGCAAAATTTGTCTGACTGATCACTTTAAGCCTTTGTGGGCCAGGAATGTGCCCAAGTTTGGACTAGCTCATCTCATGGCTCTGGGGGTAAGTTTGGGGTATTTTGTATATAAGAGGGGGAAAGGGTTAGACCCTGAGAACTATAAAAAAAGTAACTGATCCACTCTTACATCGATGCTTCTCTGTCCTTCTCCCTTCCTCCTCCACCACCCCCCAAAATCAGTAAGTATAAAAAAGAAAAGTAACTGAGAATAAACAAGAAATAACAGTGTTGTCCCTTGGGTAAGTGTTCCCCTAGAATCTCTCTAGGAAGGAGCTTCTGATGGAACAAAATGCATTGCCTAGGTGGTAGTAATCTTACAGGATCTCTCTTGTATTGCAGCTGGGTCCGTGGCTGGCAGTGGAAATCCCCGATCTGATTCAGAAAGGTGTTATTCAGCATAAAGAGAAATGCAACTGAAGGATCAAGACACTGAGGCTGGATAACCTTTGATAGGCTATGTTCCGTTTTCCTGTGTGTCCCTTACTCATCTAATGGCTTCCCTCACTCTCCTTCACCCACAATTGTTACTAAGTAGCTGCAGCAGGGATTGTTGGAACAACAACAAACAAACAGTGTTGCTACTGAATCTCTAAGGCTACACCAGGAGGGGAAAACCTGGGGCTTTGGAAAACCAAAAGGCCATTTATATTCCTTCCCGGGGTGGAGCAGTGTGAGGTCCTGGAGGGACAGGGGTGATGGAAAGTGGGTACATAGTCGTTTTGGTTTCTGGAGATAACTCATCAATAAAAGCTGCTTCCTCTGGTGGCCCGTGGTTCTCATTGGCGGCTGTTAACAGTGGATGAGGAGGCCAAGACACATGTACAACTGCAGTCGTTTGGGAGAGGGGGAGATGGAGGATGCTCTGGTCAGGAGCTGGGGAGTGAATGGAAAAGGCTTGACTGCTCTCCCTGCTGCTGAGGTCTTCCTTTGCCTTTTCGAGGGGAGCCTCAGGTGCAAGGTGCTTGAGGAAAGGCTTTGCAAGGCCGGCTTTCCCAGCATACCACGGGGATAGTCCTGTCCCTGCTGCTGAACCCACGGCCGCAGCTCCCTGGGAAGGACCTGCGCTGCAAGCCCGGGGGCCACGCTCCAGTGGTCAGATCACATCCTTTGGGCCACAGAGTGAGGTGACGGGACCCTATACCTCAGGGTCTTCGTTTGCTGCAATTCTGGGCAAGGCTGAGAACTGGTGGTTCTTAAGTTGGCTGCGTTTCCATGGTGTCGCCCGGGGAGTCGAGGGGCGGGGTCGCGCAAGCGCCAAGGAAGCAAGCGCGCCAGTCCGAGCGCGGTTGCGCAGGCGCTGTAAGAGACGCTGAAGCCGGCGGATGGTGGCGGGCGGGACCAACAAAGATGGCGGCGGCCCCGGCGGCGGGAGCGACCAGGGCGATAGCTGCCGCTGAAGCTGCAGCCGGGCCCGTGGGGATGCTGCACGGGGGCAGTGGGGGGCGGCCCTGAGCTTGGGGCCTGGCCCTGGCTGGGCTCCCCTGCCGCTCCCCAGGGGACAGGTACGGGCCGCGGCGTTACTACCGGCGGCGGGGGGGAATGCCCCGAACCCGGGAGGACGCGGTCCCCCGAGGCCGAGGCCAGGGGCGGGCGGGCCC